TCATCCATCCATCATTCTTCATATTATCCATTCCTGCAACATTATATATATCAATCCACTCCATCCACTCATCCATCCTTCTTGTTGATTCATCCATCCATGCGCCTTTTATCAATAAATTCTTTCCATCCATACATACATCCATATATATACACATCCAACCAACCGTTGTTTTATTATTGATCTTTCCATCAATCTATGCATTGTTTAGTCCTTCTTTCCTCCATACAGAACATCCATGCACCATTACATTCATTCAACCATCCATCTTGATAAAAACCATCCATCCATGCGCCTTTATATAAATCCATCCATTCATCCATCCATCCACCTTTATATAAATCCCTCCATCCATCCATCCATCCATCCATCCATCCATCCATCCATCCATCCATCCATCCATCCATCCATCCATCCATCCATCCATTTATCCTTGCACCTTTATATAAATTCATCCATCCTTGCGCCTTTATATCCATCCATCCATTTATCCATCCTTGCACCTTTATATAAATTCATCCATCCTTGCGCCTTTATATCCATCCATCTATCCATCCATCCATCCATCCACCTTTATATAAATTCATCCATCCTTGCGCCTTTATATCCATCCATCTATCCATCCATCCATCCATCCATCCATCCATCGATTCATCCACACCTTTATACCTATCTGTGTCTCCATTCATCCATCCATCATTCTTTATATTATCCATTCCTGCAACATTATATATATCAATCCACTCCATCCATTCATCCATCCTTCTTGTTGATTCATCCATCCATGCGCCTTTTATCAATAAATTCTTTCCATCCATACATACATACATATATATACACATCCAACCAACCGTTGTTTTATTATTGATCTTTCCATCAATCTATGCATTGTTTAGTCCTCTTTCCTCCATACAGAACATCCATGCACCATTACATTCATTCAACCATCCATCTTGATAAAAACCATCCATCCATGCGCCTTTATTTAAATCCATCCATTCATCCATCCATCCACCTTTATATAAATCCCTCCATCCTTGCACCTTTATATTTATCCATCCATCCATCTATCCATCCATCCACCTTTATATAAATTCATCCATCCTTGCACCTTTATATCCATCCATCCATCCATCCATCCATTATCCTTGCACCTTTATATAAATTCATCCATCCTTGCACCTTTATATCCATCCATCCATCCATCCATCCATCCATCCTTGCACCTTTATATAAATTCATCCATCCTTGCGCCTTTATATCCATCCATCCATCCATCCATCCATTTATCCTTGCACCTTTATATAAATTCATCCATCCTTGCGCCTTTATATCCATCCATCCATCCATCCATCCATCCATTTATCCTTACACCTTTATATAAATTCATCCATCCTTGCGCCTTTATATCCATCCATCCATCCATCCATCCATCCATTTATCCTTGCACCTTTATATAAATTCATCCATCCTTGCGCCTTTATATCCATCCATCCATCCATCCATCCATCCATCCATCCATTTATCCTTGCACCTTTATATAAATTCATCCATCCTTGCGCCTTTATATCCATCCATCCATCCATCCATCCATCCATCCATCCATTTATCCTTGCACCTTTATATAAATTCATCTATCCTTGCGCCTTTATATCCATCCATCCATCCATCCATCCATCCATCCATCCATCCATCCATTTATCCTTGCACCTTTATATAAATTCATCCATCCTTGCGCCTTTATATCCATCCATCCATCCATCCATCCATCCATCCATCCATCCATCCATTTATCCTTGCACCTTTATATAAATTCATCCATCCTTGCGCTTTTATATCCATCTATCCATCCATCCATTCTTGCAACTTTTTATCCAATCAATCAATCAATCAATCAATCAATCAATCAATCAATCAATCAATCAATCAATCAATCAATCAATCCATCCATCCATCCATCCATCCATCCATCCATCCGTACATTAATTCATCCACCCATTAATTATTTTTATCCATCCGTCCAGCCATCCATCCATCCTTCCAGCATCATTGCCAGACTGAGAGAGAACTAACACTTGAAGCAGCTCCTATAATTTCATCATTTTGCCTCAATATAAAGGCTTTTATAATGGCAGTCCTGCAATCAGCCTCTCAGCCCACCGACTGTAAAATAGTCAGTAAAAGCTGACCTGCTGCTAGTGTGACGCACAAACAAATTCATCAACTCTCTATAAAACAAACCTGATTCCTCAGTCAACGTGAGCAGTTTTGACATTACACACTTGTCTGTGTCTGTCTACACTGACCAAACTAAAACTACTGTGTCTTTCATTGAAAGTACATGCATTTTTATTTTGGATAAAGTGAAAATTTATTTGCTATAATTATATGTTTCTGATTTTAACCTGTTTAATTTAATGGGCATAAAAGCAAACAATGAACCCCCTTTAGCATTATTTTTTCTCAAATGAGTATTTTTACATTAAACCAGCTGTCATTGTGTTTCTTTTTCAGTGTTTATGTATTTTAATGTGAGTTTGATCACCCTTTTACATGACATTTATAGCAGTAGCAGATAGTTTACCTCAGATATTGAAAATAAAAGAACTAGCAATAGCATAACATTACATGTATTTATTATAGTTCTAGCTAATCCAAAGTATAATTTCACTTCAATTTTAGTAAAATAAATTATTTTTAAATATAATTTTTCAAAAGTTTTTCCAAAATAAAACTCTACATTTTACCAAAATGTAAATAATAATAATAAAATAAACAATTAAACGTTTTTACTAAATGAATACAAATACATAAATAAAAATTAATAATAATAAAAATAAAAAGTTTTTCAAAATAAAATTTGTCATTGTATCAAAATAAAATAATAAAATAAAAAAGAAAATATTAATAACAAGAACAAAAAGTTTTTACAAAATAAAAATGTATGTTGTGTAAAAAAAATAAATAATAATAATAATAAAAAGTTTTTACAAAATGAATACAAATAAATAAATAAATATTAATAATAATAATAATAATAAGTTTTTACAAAACAAAAATTTACATTGTGTCAAAATTAAAATAATAATAATAATAATAATAATAATATAAAGTTTTTCAGATTTTTTTTTACTTTGTACCAAATGTAAAATTTTAATCATAATATTAATAATAATAATAATAACAATAAAACGTTTTTAAATAAAAAATTACATTGTATCAACATTTAAATATTAATGATAATAATAATAATAGTCACGATAATAATAATAATAATAACAATAATATTAATAACATTACTATTAATAATAATAATAATAATAATAATAACAATATTAACAATACTACTACTACTACAAATAATAATAATAATAATAACAATATTAACAATACTACTACTACTCCTACAATTAATAATAATAATAATAATAATAATAATAATAATAATATTTTTCCGAAATAAAAAATAACAAATAAAACTAATAATAATTAGGGGTGTCCATAGTAAACACTAATTTTATTTTTTGTGAATGTATTTTTTTCTTGACCACAATAAATCATTTAGATTAAATACAATTTTTAAAAAGATGAATTTTATATTGAGAACGACAAAATGGTTAGCAGTAACACATTACAGACATTTATAAAAGTTGGTTCAAACTATCTTTCTGTCTTTGAGACGCCTGTTATTTAGCAGAAAGAGCATCCAGAAATAGCAGCACATGTACTCCTGAGAAACACCAATAACAGCAAATAACATCTGTGTAGCTCAATCTCAGACAGTCTGCTCTCTTTCTCTCCGCATAACGCAGTTGTGATGGGACAGAGATGCTTGTTCTGGGGATTTTAGGAGCTGTGTTTGCTTTATTAATGAGCTTATAGTTCAGACGTGCAGAACGACACAACATTGGCTCCGTCTCACCATGATCAAATAACAGCTCATTAGCAGATTCTGCTGGTACTTTGGACTGAAGTAATCACGCTGGGTTTTGTTAATAGTGTTAAAACACTGTGTGTGTAATATGCACTGCTGGTGGAAGGATGTATATGGAGGAAACCATAATACATAGTACAACTTCACTTTGATTTTAGTAAAATAATAAAAGTTGAACCAAAGTTATTCAGTTAATTAATGATCTCTATAAAAAACTATATTTCACCTATGAGTGAATGAATTTTTAAATAATTTTTTAATAATGATAAAAGTTCCCCCCCCCCAAAAAAAATTACATTGTACTAAAATTAAAATAATGTTATTAATAATAATAATAATAATATAATGAAACAACAACAATAATAATAATAATAATAATAATAATAATAATAATAATAATATAATGAAACAACAACAACAATAATAATAATAATAATACAATAAAAATAATTTACATTGTACCAAAATAATAATAATAATAATAATAATAATATAATGAAACAACAACAACAATACTAATAATATTAATATAATTAATATAATGAAACAACAATAATAAAGATAATAATAATAATAATAATAATAATGATAACAAATTACAAAAAGAATTTACATTGTACCAAAATAATAAAAATAAAATAAAATAATAATAATAATATTAATAATAATAAAATAAAAAATAATTTACATTGTACCAAAATAATAATAATAATAATAATAATAATAATAATAATAATAATAATAAAAAATAATAATAAAACGTTTTTCCAAAATAAAATGAATTAAAAATAATAATAATAATAATAATAATAATAATAATAAAACGTTTTTGCAAAAAAAAAAAATATTGCTTAAGAGGGCTAATAATTTTGACCTTAAAATGGTTTAAAAATGAAAAACTGCTTTTATTCTAGCTGAAATAAACCAAATAAAGACTTTCTCCAGTAGAACATTATTATAGGAAATATTGTGAAAACTTCCTGAATCTGTAAATCATCATTCAGGAAATATTTTAAAAAGTTAAAAAATGTGACTTCTGTGAACTGTAAACAGAGGTCAGACTCACATTAATGCCAGGCCCAGGTAGTTTGCAGTGCTGCCCCAGTACATGGGATTGTCCATCACATTAAAAGGGAAACCAGTCACCTTCTGATCCATCAGGATGCCGAAATAATCCCCTGTTAAAACAATAAAGCATGTTAAGGTCAATATTATTAGCCCCCTTAACCCATATTTGCTTTTGATTGTCTCCAGTACAACCCACTGTTATACAATGACTTGCCTAATTACCCTAACTTTACCCTAATTACCCTAGTGAAGGCTTTACATGTCACTTTAAGCTGAACACTAGTCTAATATAGTCTAATATGATGTGCTGTCATCATGGGGAAGAGAATAGAAATCAGTTACTAGAAATGAGTTATTAAAACTATTATGATTAGAAATGTGTTGAAAACTAAATCTTCTCTCTGTTAAACTGAAATTGGGGAAAATAATATACTGGCGGGCTAATAATTCTGACTTAATATGAGCATGCTATATTTATCTTTCACACATAAACCCCAGGGAAGCAGCTAATTATGGGCTTGAGCTTGACAGTCTGTTGCTGAACACTCTCACATATGGAGGAGAGAAAAGCATCACGGCGTATCTAAATTCAG